CAGTGTAAATAATATCGTATATACCCGGAATCCGGAATCGGTGGTCTGCGTACCGTATCGTGCCGTGCCCGTTATCGTGCCGGTGTTGTGCTAGTATAGTACTATACGGGTGGAGATATGATAGTTATATTGTAGTTAGGGTACGGTACATACTGGTACGTACATTCAAGCCTTCTCTTTTCTCTTCTCTTCTCTGGAAAGGGGAGAGAAGGGGAGAGGAAGGGGGGGGGGAAATGATTGTATTGTAAAGTTTTTGGTCCGGTATGTAGGTTTGTGTTGGGATGCCGGGCGGGTTTTAAAACCGCCCTGCGGTACTCGAGTATGATACCGGTATTTACTACTGTACGAACAACTGCGCCGTGCGGTGCGGTGAGTATTGTACAGTACCGTGCAGTACGAGTACCGGTATGATAGAGTACGAGTGCAATACGATAACGCGACCGTCTTAGCATTTCATTTCCGAAGGGAGAATGCTTTTTCTCATTTTTTCCCCCCATTTCATTCCACAAGCTACCTCCATTAGGCAAAGTCGAGTGTTGCTGTTACTATTACCAGTACCCGTACTTGTATCATATCATATCGTTATTATTCCAAGCCAAGTTGCAAAGCGGTGAGTTTTCGAGCCCAAAAGTGCACGATCGCGACTACTTTTCATCTGGGGGAAAAAAAAAAAAAAAGACTTCACTGAATTGCTGAATCGGGAAAATGTAACCTCTCATTCATGGAGCGACAATGCTGATCGAATTGAGAAGGTATCCAACAAACACCAAGCAAGCAAGCAGCATGCCGTACGGTACAAGTGCAGGCGCACCCAAGATGCCTCGTCACAACCAAAACAACAGCAGCTAACACCTTCACAATAGTGATATGGAGGGAAGGGCACAAGGGAAGAAGAAAAAAACAAAAAAAGAGAGAGAGAACGGGACCTTGCTCCAACCTACCGCGTAACAACGCCTACATATCGACATATTCCATCAAAATCGAGAACACCATGAACCGTGAACCGAGATGCAGGAGAAGGACAAATCGAATTTGGAACAGGAGAGACTTTATGCAAATGCGGAAACCAAAGTGAAGAAAAAAATAAAATCTGGAGTACCAGGTTATTACAAGATCCGCCTTACATGCGACGTCACACCGGGAATTAAGAAACCACGGGGATTTCTGTGGGGCATGCGCTCCAAAGAACAATTGAAAAACCGAGGAACCCTTTTGAACAGTCAGCCGGTGCCAGCAAAAGGTACCTGGAAATCCCGGGATCGTGGAAATGCTAAGGGATCGGAGAATGAGACCCCTACCCGCTATGTACTCCAAGGGGGCCACATATGTACGCGAGCCGTCCTAGTGATCCACGTCGTCTGTCGAGTACCGTTAGTAAACGGCCCTTGCCCTTTATGAAGAGAATTTCTTCTCATTTGCCACTTACCCCACGCACGTCCTTGGACCGCGCTGAGCTCCTCCATTGTCATGACCTTACCAGTGGTAAAGTACCTACATTAGTCCGTCAGCTTCTGTTTTTGAAAATAGTCACGCGAGCTGTCTTGGGGAACGCGGTATTTTGGGGAAATGCGCTTCGGTTCACTCACCCGGCATGAATTTTCGCATCGATCTCGACTCTCGAGTCCTCCGGAATCATCTCATCCGGAATTGGTATCCTCTCATGAATGGGAATTCCCTGACCCACAATTGCATCGTACTTCATGCTACAGCGGAAATCGGTCAGTCCTCGAATGGGTGCACGGCCGCTAACAGCGAGAGTGCGAGGTCAAGCAGGCAAGCGACGGGCAGTGTCGAGCCAAAACTTACTTGGACATGGAGAGCATCCTGTCGATCTTCGTAATACCTAGCCAATGGAGCACCTAGCAGTTGAATCGGTCAGATTTAGCAAATCCGGGTGGAAAAACGATCGTGCGATGAGGGACAGGAGAAGGGGTGGAGGGTCTGGACAACTTACATCGGGCATGAGGGCTTGGAACCTCATATCCTGGATGGAGATCAATTAGTACAAGAATGCAGTCGGGCGACCCGCTTCTCTTGAAAATGGCCATTGGAATACCTTCACGCCGGCAATATTCTGTCAAGTTTGTTAGCTAAGGTCAAGCCAGGGATGCAAAAAACGCGTGAGAAAGGCGCACCTCAGTCCTGATTAGTATCGGATTTGTTAGCGTTGGGCGTCACAGGAGGCAGAGGTGGATCTGGAACATGTCGGGCGACAATAACTCACCTCTTGAAGTATTCGCTGGCTCGGTCAATTCCGCGTTTGCCTATGTTGCACCTGTGAGCTCAACAGCCGTTTCCCTCGGAAGAGCGGGCTCAAAAGCAATGTCACTCACGAGCGTTGTATACAAGGTACTATTGGAGGAACGTTAGCAAAAATGACCAGCTGTCGTACTTGGATCTCGATTCTCTTGCCTTGGTAACCTCTCCTAGGGCTCTACCTTCCTTTCTGAAGTAGACCACAACACCACTGCCGCCCTTCTGCGCTTCCTTCACTGCTTCTTCGATTCCGAAAATGAGGTAAGGGCGACAGGTACAGATGTCGGAGCCGAACACATCCGATCCATTGCACTCATCATGGACACGAAGGGCGAGCTTAACGTTGGGGTCAGACATCTTGGCGGGGTCGCCGAAGCAGTAGACAGTCAGACCACCAATTGGAGGCAAGAAGAGCTTGATGTCGTTGCGGGTGATAAGCTCTGGGAAGGAGCCACCAGTGTTCTCAAAGAGAGAACGACGGAGAGTGCCCTCATCTGATCACGAAGGAAGTCAATTCTGTCAGCGGACGATAAATCTACAACCAAAAGGCGGGAAACGTTGGACACGGAAAAAAAAAACTCCGACATATGCAGCATTCAGCGCGGCTCCAGCCGATACTCGCCTTGAAGTGTCAAGACCGGCGAGGTCAAGCAGGACGAAACTGAAGGGCACGGTAATGGTGGAGCGTGGGACAACAATTGTTCAACATACCAATTCCGAATCTCTCAGCTACACCGGGAAGATACCAGACGGGTTCGACGGCAAATTTAGTAACAGCTAGTTCACCAGACTCGTTCAAGCAGATCTTTCCGTCAACCTTGAGGCGACCAGCCTTTACGCTATTTTCGAGCTCGGGAAGTTTCATGTGGGCTTTTGTGATGGCAATGGTAGGACGAATCTCGACATTCTCCTTGTTTATGTAATCATTGTACAACCAAGGGGCCAAATGGCCCAAGGGATCCATGGCGACGATCTTCTTGGGGTCGGACCATTGGGGGAAGGGGCCAATGGTCGCGGCGGGCTCAGTGTTAGTGAAATCGGGCTTGTGATCAACTTTGAGGTCTTGAATTGCGACGGCAAGAGCGTGGTAGATACTATAGGAACCACCATGGGCACCAATTGCTATTTTTAGGTAGAAGAGCAAGCGATTAGCATGAGGGTAACACGGAATATGAAAAGGGTCCGCGTGAGCAAAAGCAGAAATAGTTGGCGGGATCAATGGAGAATAAGCGGGCATATAAGGATCGAATGGGGGAAAGGGAGAATCGAGGCCATGGGGCAGAGTGAGAAGCTTAAAGACCTCTTAAGAAGCAATCTCTCTCGTATAACTGAAGAAAGCCGTGAAGAACTCACCATTCCTACGCCTGACGGTAGAAGCACCTCTCGAAACAACAACCGGCCCACGCTTGGTAGTATCCTTCTCCCCCCAATTCATAATAATGGGATCGATTCCGCTCTGTCCTGGATAGGTAGTCAGGATGATCCTAGAGGTCACGTTCGGCTTTCTCGCAACAGTCGGGATAACATCGTTAGTGGGGGAAGCGGGAGGTTCCGTAGCTTCACCAGCAGCTCCACCAGCAGCAACCGGAGTGGTAGTAGTAGCGGCAGCGGGCTTCCCTCCATCCCGCCCTTTAATGGCGGCGGCGGTGGCGGCGGCGGCAGCGTCGTCGTCGTCCTTGAGCTTCTTGACATCGGCGAGGGCGTTGACGCGGCCGTTGATGGCATCAACGGATGCGGCAAGGGTCTTGCTGTCCTGCTGGAGCTGCGTTACGACTGACAGGATCTGGCTCAGGAGAGTATCCGCCATGTTGGCTTTATCGTATCGTCGCTATCTTTTGTTTGCCGTTGCAATATGTGTGTGGTTGCGTTCTGCGGTGGTTGTGTGGTTGAGTGTGATGGTGGTGGGGTGGTAAGATAAGTTGCGTATGACTGACTGGTTGATTGATATGTGGGAGGGGGGGGGGGGGCAACTTTACTCCTGGAAGTGTAATAGGTCAAGGTAAAGAAACGGATTAGGTGGATAGGTATAAATGGAGGGGGTGAGGGTTATGGGGGCGGGGGGATGCTTGATTATCTCAAGGGAGATAAAGGAGGTGGATGGAGAGAGAGGAGGGGGGAGGGAGGGTTTGAAGAGGAGGAGGAGAGAGAGGAAGAAGGGTTGAACAGAAAGAGAAAGGGAGAGTTTGCGTGAGTGAGTGAATTAGAGAGGGAGAGGGGAGAGTGAATGTATAGTGTACTAGTTACTGCACGCATGATGGCTTAAACATCTACTCTTTTGCACGGGTGAACAGAGGGAGAGCGGGTCAAGTTGACTTTGCTGTATGATCCTGAATATTTCCCGCCTACGGTACGGCACCGCACGTACACCCAGTGCGGGTATATTCCCGCACCCCAATCCGGTCACGAGCGGATGTGTTGTCTGGGCTGCTTTCCTTGACTGACTGACTGACTGCCTGACGGACAATCACCCCTTTGGGGGCGGGGGAGAGGGTTTGTCTAGCATCAAGCCGTACCGGTGCAATAGCGGTACCGGTACTTTGCAGTGGTTATCATATCCCAACTGTGCCCGCTTAACCTTCCCTGCGAAGCCATGATATCTTTTGCCGGCTCGGGCACCGGTTCCGTACCGTGCTGTACAGTACCCATCCTACCGTATTGTATGTATCATGCCTACCGTACGATATCCCGCCGTATCGATACCCACGAGAACCTTATCTGCGAGCGGCAGTATGATAACGCCCTCACAATTTACCGCATTAGGCTACCGGTAGCCTCAGCAATCACGTGGACATCTCAACCCCTGTATCATACCTCTTTCTTCCATTTTTCCCCTTTTCTATCCTCACGTGTGTCGAGGTGTTGGTCTTCTCTCTTTCCTTCCTTCCTTTCCGTCACTTTTTTCGTGACAACCACAGAAGAGCCGGGGTTTAAGCCTCATCACGTCACGCTTTTCCTTCCGACTGGGTGGGCTCGGGTGGCTGGGTTTGTTAACCTTGAGACCTTCACCGCCGCTGCTCCCATCGCCAAGGCGACGGACCGCTTCTTCCACGCATAACCTTACTCCTCCGTAAAATCTCCATAACAACCACCTCCATCATCGACGGCAGTCGCCACAGCAATAACAATATCTCCTCCATCGCAACCTGCAGCCCTAATTTTCGTAAACAGCAAACATGGTACCGTATCCCTCGCCCCATTCATCCCGGGGAGGCTAACCATCTCCATCAACAACAGGGCAAACGCAAGAAGTCATCCCGCAAGCCCACAGGACCTAAGAAGGTATGTCGCTCTACGCCGTGCATAAAGCCCCTCCCCATCTACTTACCTGCGTACTAGGAGAGGGGCTAACTAAACGACAAACTTAGAGCGAACCGCTTGCAACCTCTTTTTCATGCCTTTTCTGCAACCATGAGAAATCCGTTACATGCATGCTCGACAAGAAGGCTGGCGTCGGCAGCTTGTCTTGCAAAGTCTGCGGGCAGAGGTTCCAAGCGAACATTAACTGTATGTCACCATTTCTTACCTCTCTACCTCTCTACCTACTCCTTGCAGTTTGGTCTGGTTTGGTTTGATTTGGTATGATTTGGTTCACTCACCCCCCGGCATCTTGTCATCGTTGCGCCGTGCGGCCGCCATCGTTGGGGGGTGGATAGTGGACGGACACCGGTGTTTCTCGGATTTCGGAGGAAGCGGATAAGCATTAACGTATTGGGATTGAGCGGGAATAGATTTGTCGGCGGCGATAGACGTGTATAGTGAATGGGTCGACGCCTGCGATGAAATTGCGAATCCAAAGGACAAGGCTCCCAGGCGAGTTAGCGGTGGTGGCGGTGCTGTAGGAAGAGGGGGTGGGGGTGGGGGGGATGGAGGGACTGGGAGTAAGTCTCAACAGAGCCGCGATAAGTTTGATGAGCTGGAAAATGACGACGACGATGACATCGGTGGTGGGTATGGGGGGAGAACTCAGGCCATTGTTGATGAGGATGAGGATGAATACTGAAAGGCGCTACGGCGCCATGGCCATGAGATCGCATGTGGGATGATGGATGAATGGATGGATTTTAAGTGGGTTCACAATGAGGTTGTCACTATACCGGCTTTTGCTTTTGTTTCTCTCTTTTTTTTTTTTTTTGTCAAATGTGCTGGGCTGCATTCTTGATCTTTTGTATAAAAAGGTTTGGGTCACTGTTTCCTTTTACTTTTTTTTCCTTTGCGGGTTCTACTACTACTACTACTCGGTAATTGGGTCTCTCTCTCTCTCCTATATTCCGAGGTACACGTGGCAATTGGACCACTGATGATGTGAAGATTTGTTTTCTCGTGCTATGAAAGTGCCGATTACTTGCAAGTGATTTTGCGCAAAGTCCCGGATGGTCGGCATACGCGCGGATTTGAGATGAAAGTCGAACCCAACATGGCCTTTATCGACGCTAAAGCCGGGGCGAAACGTCTAAATGCAATAGAATCTATCACCAAAATCTCCCAACCCAGGAATAATATAACTGATTCCACCAGTCCGTTAGCATGCCAACACGGCCCAAGTAGATATCGGTGAAGGGAGGAGGAAAATGGGTGAAACCCACTTCTTCTCATCAAGCCCCTGATCCACAAACGCCGTCACGATCCTTAGCTTCGGGAACCTCTCGGCAAAGCTCCTGATCCCCTCGGGACTAGCAATCAAGTTGAGAAACAAGATCCTCTCCTCAGGCACGCCCCTAGAGATGAGCACCTCAACAGCCATAGTTGCCGACCCACCAGTAGCAAACATTGGATCGAGTAGAAGGCAGTATCTCTCTGCGATGTCCTCGGGCAGCTTGTCATAGAAGAGGCGTGGCTTGCTGGTCTCCTCGTCGCGCTGGATGAGTATCTTCCCGATACGCACAGAGCGACAGCAATCGCGGAGTCCCTGCTCCATGGACTCGCCGGCACGCATGATCGACACGCCGCAGATCTTGCCTTCGAACTTCACGCCAGAATAGGTGTGTCCGATCGGCGTGGTCACGGAGGAGGAAATCACGGGTAGATGATTCAAGCCTTCTTCCACTAGCAGACGGATTATTCTGTTGGAGTAGAAAATAAAGTCCCCGCGTACGGTGGACTTGTCGCGGATCATACTGTTTGGGATGGAGAGGCCTGGGTTAGCTTGGGTTTAGCTTGGCTGGAAGGGGGGGGCAAGTATGATCATCGCAGGAACAAACGGTGGAGGTGGGAGGATGCAGGAACAGGGGTGAAGTGGGGGGTGTACGTCAAGAGAGCAATCAATTGCGGGGTCTGCGGGAGGATATGGACATTGCTATGTTTGACGGGTTTCGAGACGCTAGAAATAGAGGAATCAGTTCATTACCTATTTCTTGCAAGTGCCGTATTGATCTAGCCCGACGAGCGAGTGGTGAAAGGATCTGAGGGGAGGATTGTATCATACGTAGCATGTGGCTTCTCCTCCTCCTCCTTATACTTTGGCCCAATAGGTGCAGCAGGGGATTCAGGTACAGTCGACATCTTGTCTGATTTTTATTATTTTTATCTTTCTTTCTTTCCGTCTGTTTGTCTTCACCCTTTCTTTGTTCTTCCTTTCCGTAGAAACTAGCTGGATCGTGAATATCGATGGGGATAAGGAAGAGGAAAGGGACAGGGGAAGAAAGAGAAGAAAAGGTACTCCTCCCCCTAGGTGGCAGCACTACCAGCCAATGAAGGAAGGAGAAAAGAGGGAGGAAGAGGGGGGGAAAGGGAGTAGGGCGGCTCTGCCCTGCTGTCTTGGTTAAGGTATCATATCATAGGATAGGTATGCATTCAGGGTTCTGGTCTCACTTAACCTTAAACGCCGGGATCACGTGAGTGCCACCGGCAGCTACCGGTACAAGGTACAGGCATAAAAAAGTGG